AAACCCTAAGGAGCAGAAGGCATTTTTGGAGAGCTCATACCTTAAGAAAATTAAGAGTTTTTAGAATCAAAACCTGAAGAGCTGAGTCCTTGACCTGAAAATACTGAAGTTCCGGTGTTTCCTTCCTACCCTGGCACTCAGGGTACTATCTACACCTGCTACTTCTTATCAAATCCACCCAGACTCTCCCCACCTCCCAGAGGGCTGCTCAGGACAAAGTGGTAAGTCTCAGGTAGCTAACTCCTTTAGCCCCAGTCCTAGCGCTGTAAGTCCTCCTGCTCAGCTGGTCTCATTCCAGCAGTTTCTGCCTCAAGAGCCTAGGACGCTGAGTGTAAATCTCAACAGGAAAAGAAAAAAAGATATTAAGGGCAGAGCTAGAGCTATATTTTTTTTAATTTTTTTTTAAGATTTTATTTATTTATTTGACAGACAGAGATCACAAGTAGGCAGAGAGGCAGGCAGAGAGAGAGGAGGAAGCAGGCTCCCCGCTGAGCAGAGAGCCCGATGCGGGGCTCGATCCCAGGGCTCTGGGACCATGACCTGAGCTGAAGGCAGAGGCTTTAACCCACTGAGCCACCCAGGCGCCCCGCTAGAGATAAATTGAAATGAGACAGGATTAAAAAAAAAAAAAAAGTACCAAGTCTTGGGATTACATTTTCAAGATGAGTGAAGCTGGGTTTGGCAGTATTCTGGCATCGTTGAGATTTAACTAGAGCTGACCTTGGCACATACGAAACTTTCCCCTTTAGTTGATCAAGCCCTACATCAGGCTCCCTTCTCAGTGGGAAGCCTGCTTCTCCCTCTCCCACTCCCCCTGCTTGTGTTCCCTCTCTCACTGTGTTGCTGCCAAATAAATTTAAAAAAAAAAATTTTTTTTTTTAATATCCAAAGAGTTCACTGCCCCCGGGCCATGCGGAGAGGGGTTCACTTGGGAAAGGGCATGAGAAAAGTTTCTGTGGCGATGGCAATGTTCTGTACGTCTCAGGAGGAGTTTGAGTTCCAGAGGCGTGGACATTTATCAACACACACCTAGCATGTGTGCGTTCCTTTGTATGTAAATTCTATACTAAAAACGGCAACAAAATACTGAACTAGTACTCGTGCTGAGCAGGGAATAAGCTTGCTGAAATAAATACATGTCTGCTCACTTGAATATATTAGAAACGGACGGATGAATGAGATGGATGTGATGAAACTAGTCAGATGTTAATGAGAAAATCTAAGTGGTTGACGCACAAATGTTTACTCTAAAATTGTTCAACATCACTGTATGTTTGAAATTTTTCATGATAAAACGTTGGGAAGTTAGTGCTGGATCAGAAGCAAACAAACTCGTCTGCATGCTGGGGGGCACATCAATTCTGAGGACGGTCACTGGGAATACGGAATTCCTTCCAGCGTACTCTCCACCCTCCCCTTGGCCATTGACCTCTCCTCTGGCACAAACCCTGGCCAACAAGTCCTCCCTCCTCCTCTGCGCTTTCATAACCATGCCCTCACTCTCTGGGCAAAGGTGAACAGAAAAACAGCGCAGGGCACTCAACTGTTGAGCTGACCTTTGTGAAGACTCAACCTTACAAGGCCGTCAGGACGAACCTTCAGCGTGCGTACCTTCCTGCACAAGCAGGATGCAAGAGCCTGACTGTTCACAGACACACACATGCACACGCGTACATACACCAGAAGAAACCCAACCTAATTGCAGTAACTAATATAAGTTGCTTAATATTTCAGATTTAAAATTAGGAGAGATGGCCTTCTCAGGGCATGAAAAAAATGATCCGTATTCACCTCTCATTTACATTGTTCGTGGAGAAAGAGCTTAACATTGGTTGAGCCCTGGACATGGTTGTGAGGTTTGCATACATTGGTTCATCTAGTCCTCAGAGCCCATTATCCTCATTTTATAACAAGGCTCATAGTCACGGAGCCAGTAGACAGTGGATCTAGGATTCAAACCAAGATCTCCTCAACTCAAAACTATTTTTCACCAAAGCACACTGTCATGGACATTTAAAATAGGTTTCATCCTGCAAAGCTAACATCACCACAGGAACAACATCAGTCGTTTGGCTAAGATCATACAAAAAAAAAAAAAAAAAAAAGGCAGTTTCATGTTCTCCTTCAACTGCTTTTACCCAAACACCACCCACCAAAAGGTATTTTTGAGTTTATACTCCCCACCAGTGTTGTTGACAAATGTAGCAAGAACACAAAAGTTGGCGTTTCCGTAGCTTCTACAGCTTTGGGGAGCAGCTCAGGGTTTAATAAAGCTGCTTAAGGGAATTTACTTTTGATGTCAGTGTTGCTAGTTCATAAACTAGAATTAGATGGCTCCATTTCTGCCTAATGATCTCCTACATCATGCTGAGACCATCACACAAAAATTCTTATCCAATGGACTGAGGGAACATTTCCTCTGCGTGTTAAGCCACATTCCTGAACCACAGAACTATGTAGTCATCACCCAGTAGATGGCACTAGCTCTGTTTTTCCTCCGAAGGCAGTCCTGGGACCTAGGTCAGAGGTCCTCTCCTACTAGGGTTGTAAATGTTTGAAACAGACTTGTCGCCATGGCAATCAAACAATGCCTTGCATATTATTTGTGGAAAATATTTAGCTGTGTGCAGAACAAGACTGAGATCTGTAAGCGGGGGGGGCTCTATCAGGCGTTCTTAGGAGAGTGGACCACGTCTCCAATCCCACTACTTCTCACTCTGCCAGCCTCTCTCCGCATAATCAAGAGGGGACTGAGGAACACTCAGGTGGAAGAGGAAGGGGGCTGCGATAAACATGTATTTGCTGAGATAAGCAGTAATAAAATCTATTTTCAAAAAAGTTTAACAGAAACCCAGGGTGAAAAAGCTTTTTACTGTGTTATAGCCCCAAATGAAGTCAGATCATTATAGATGAGCTGATTTTAATAGACCTAATTCGAGCAATTCTACGTGAACCTTTTCAAAACTCAGCAGCGCTCACATCCAGAGGCCATACGCATGGACACCACCTGCTTTGCTCAGTTCTGCTCCTCAGGGGCATAGGCTTCCAACTCTCTCCCTGTTTTGCAAACCAGAACTGTGGCATATTCTAGCCTAACAATGATAAAAGAAGCTACATATGCATTTCAAAACAGCTGTGTTGGGAGAGAGATCAAGGGCAGGAGACAAAAATCTTCAGGTCTTACTCCAAGTGCAGCTCTACCACTCCTGCACTTACAAATCCTCCTCCTGATAGAGCAGAGAAGCAACTCGTAGTTCCATCAAGTTCCGGGGGGGAAATCTATCGCGGGCGTGGAAACCAGCGTGTCGATTTCACTCAACATACGTTCAATATATGGATAAGAAACTGAACTCTACATTCAAAAGATTTTGATGGAGTAAAACAAAATTCAACTTTTGTTTGGAAATCATTTAAAAAAAAAGTTTCTGAAGACATGCCAAGGGCTTCAGCTGAGGTTGTAGGGACACGTGGTGGCAAGGGCTATGGGGTGGGAAGAGGACTCAGACTCCTGGGGTCTACTGCAGCCTTGGGCTGGTATAGTCCTCGAACTTGGGAGCCACGCTGGTTGTGGGCTACCCATCAAGGCCCTTCAGAAGGCTTAAATGCCTGTCAAACATGTTAAATGTTCCTTTTGCTACATCACACCAGTTACCCCACAGTGGTAAAGAGCCCTTAGGAACATCTTTGTGTCTAATGTTCTTAATGAAGAAAGTGCTAAGGCTTATTAGGGACAGTCTATGGACTTTTCTCTAGTCTGTTTCTTAGTCTGCAATCTGTGCTTTGAGAAAACATCGTTAGACCCTTTTAGCTCAGAAACCTGGAGTAATGTGGTTATAGTACTTAGACACAAACTCTGGTGTATCCCCAGTAAAGCAAAGGAATTGGGAAAAAGAGTTGAATAGGCCTGGGAAGTAAAATGTTTTTCTAAGCTTCTCCCTCAGAGCCTTACAGCATACCACTCATGGCAGTGCTATTTTCCAAAGGTCACAACTGATTTCCTCAGAAGCATACCTTAACTCTCAATCACTACAATGACTTTGTGAAATGAGGGAGTGTTTCTTTACCCTAACATGTAATCATTGGCTGAAGCCTGGTTTTCACCACAGCCAAGTACACCTGCCTTTACCCCTCTGTAACCCCTTTTTCTACCAGAAATGTGAAGACACTCTCATCAGATGGGGAAATTAAAGAAAAGGCAAGAGGGATTTTTACAACAGCCATCACAGGGCAAGTAGTCCCACGCAGCCGCCTAGAGGCTGAGAGACTGACACTGGGCAAGTGCTCCGTGTAGACTGCTTTCCTGTGGTTTCCAAGGTTTGCTGTCGGGAGAACCTTTCCAAGTACATCAAAAAGGATCTTAGGAGTCACTGAAGCCTAAGGTTTCGTGGAGCAAACAGTACTTACTTTCATAACAGAAAAGGGAAGTCATTTTGGTAACTGGAATGCCAGATCTATATAAACTGAAAACTGCCATCGTGTCTCCATGCTGCTGTAGAAACGGCCAGTGTGCACCTCTGAGAACACTTTGTGGGGCCACGTAACCAGCTTCCTAGACTTTAAATGTTCTCATTACTGCTGGGATTTTTTTTTTACTAACCTCCCATCTATTTGTTCTGCATCATCCCTTTGGCATTATTACTAAACCCAGAAAATTTAACGTTCTTTTAAAATGTTAATAATAAAAATACAAATGACAAGGATTCAGTACTACAAATATTCAGGGAATCAAGTTAAACTGTCCTCACAGTTATAGACTACCCACGGTGGGTGGGATGGGGGCACAGACCCCAGCCTGCAAGAACAAAGCCAAAAGGAGGTGGTATATATAGGAAAACCTGTGTAAATGCCTTTGGGAAAGCACACTGCAACCTTCACTATTACGCATCATTCTCTGGCCTTGTGAGGTTCATTCTCCCGTCTCTGTATTGTAGCCACCAGCCAAAAACCTGTCCCAGAGAGGAGAGGCCGGCTGGCTGACAAGACTTGAAACCACTTCAGAACTGTTTTGTAGAAATGAGATGGGGCCCAATTCTAGTAGGTGTGTATTTCTAAACTAAGTGGTTTTGTCTTTGGTAGGTGTTTAGACATTTAAAAATTCACAGGTGAAAGCACCAGGGAAGAGGAAGGTAGAAAACTTTCTTCCTCTTCTTGTTGAGAACCATCCAAGCAGACTGTGGGGCAAACATTCGTTATGCACTGTAATTCCCTTTGCTTTGGTTTTGGAGGCTTCCCTTAAGAAAAAAGAGATCTGTTAATAAATGGTAACACAGAACAAGAAGATTATTGAGGCAAATGTCAATTACAAAATTAACAGCTTAGATCGTTCTCTATTTAATCTCAACATGTTAAAGAATAACAGTATTTCCACACCTAACGCTGCATTTTCTTCTATTCTTGAGGTATGATCAGATGACATTTTGACTGCCCATTACGTGCCAGAAATCACCCTAATCACTTACGTGGAAAATCTTCTGTAACTCTCTAAAGGGATACTATTACTTGTTTTTATATTTGTGGAACTTAAGGCTTATAGAGGTCTTAAGTGTAATAATTTGTCCAACATCATAGGTGAGGAGACAATGGGCCAGGACTAGAAGCTCAGCTGTCCCACCTGATAGTTTACTTTTCTGAAACTCCAAAATTCTTTTAAAATCATCTTTAACACCATATTCACACAAATAACTTGAGTATTATTGCTCCTACCCTTAAAGAAAAACTTATATGCTAACTTTTAGTATAAAATTTTTACTTCCAACATGTTATCTTGTATCTTAAAAAGACATTAGTCACAAAGCCAAATTCACTGAGTTAAGGCTAAAAGAAAAACTTCTAGAATATATAAACCCTAGTTACCAGAGTACTATGAACCATGAATAAGCTCCTTGAGATGACTCGTCACCGACCCCTTATCTCCCCAAGTGTCTCACACTCAGTGTGTACAGCAATTCGTTAAGACACACTGAATTGGAGAAACAAATATTCCGGTACCAATTTTCATATTCAAAGGCTATGGCGTTTTTAGAAAACAGAGTCTACTTAAATTATTTTGTGATTATTTAAGGTAGGGACAAAAGGCGATAAGTACAGAGCTAAGCAGTCCCCGGGTTGAAGTAATCATTACAACTACGGTAAAATTTACTGGCTCCCCATTGCAAATCATTGAAAGAGCGAAAATAAGGGAAGTCCGTTAACATTAATGCAAGTTTTATTGGGGCTAATTTGGAAGAACTGAATTCTAACAAAGGAAAAATTTACCAGTTACCCAAGCACTCTATAGTAAAAAGTGGGAACTGGGTGTCATTTATAACACATAAAGAAATTCTACCTTTACATTTCTGAATAAAGCTGTATGCACTTCTTAGAGAGAGCCGTTTAACTTTGGCTGATAAGGCTTTGTGAATTGTGTTCAGAAATTTGGACAATACTCACACACATTTTTCAAATAAAAGTTAAGTACCTAGGATTTTCACTCCAGGATGAGTTTCTGCAAGTACCTAGGACACTCTAGTTTAAGACTGCATATTTCTACATGAATTCAATTTGAATTGCCTTCATCTACGTACCACAATTTTTTAAAATAATTAGATCAGTATTTATTATGACTTTTTAACTCCCTCAAATTATACTTTAATATTTGACATAGTAGTTTCAAAAAATAAATATTCAAGGCCTCGGTTTTAAGTTTCCCTTCAGTGTAATGCACAAAGTTGACAACAAGTATTAATAGGACTACCCTAAAATAAATGCAGCTTTCTTATAAAAATTCCTTGTTATAATACAGTTCCCATTTTACTCCATAATTCTGATAAAGAATATATTCTTTTTGGTAATAAAACAAGAGTTTAGAAGATTCAGTCCTTGGAAAATCCTCCTGGCAGTCACTCAAATGAAGAAGTCAATCATTCCTGGAGTCACAAACACTCAAAAACTGCTATAACCACTGAGTTTTTTTGGGGTGGTTTAGGTGGTTATTGCTTCAGTTGGCAATACCTGAATTTAAGACAAAAGAACATCTCCCACTAAGCCTTACTTTAAATATTACGAAATGTATATGGAAGACAGACTCATAGAGGCTATAATGCTGATGTCTTAAGAAACTCACCCACGGAACGGGGGCGTGTTTTTAGAGGATAACCATTGATCTTTTTGCCCTAAAAATAAATGCCCCTACTTTTCAGAGTCTTGCCATTCTTCAAATTCTTCAACAGGAGACTTGAGCAGCTTAACAGTTTTGCTATAAGAACAATCCACTGTTGTTAACAAACCCAAAACATAAGAGGAAACCAATAAAGGACACAGTATTCACAGTTAACGATAAATAAAAGTGCAGTAAGTGTTCAAGTAGGGTGTGTAGTTTAAAAACTACATGTGAGTATTGAGCATAGGTCATCTTTTAAAGGCTCTCCGAGGGTCCCTGCCATTACTTATTGTGGTCATGACTGTTTGATTATTAGCTGTTCCTTGTAGCTGTGAATTTGTAGGTCCCCGGCCATTGCTTCTACCAGCATATGAAAACTGGCATCCCCTTGATTCTGGGCCAGCTTGAACCCCGTTTCCTAAAAAAGAATATAAAAATTCATCACCATTTCAGACACTGATATATAGTAACACACCTATTTGAAGTTCTAACACATGTTTACAAGTAGTATTAAAGAAAACAAATGCCTTTATTTTTAAACTACTGGAAAAGACTCAATGTGCGTTCTGAGTTTTCCAAACATGTAATTACTGTAAATATATTAACTTGATACTGTATTAATATGGAGAAAGAAATAGAACAGTTTGGGGAACAAAATGAGAAATTAGTAAAGAAAAACATAGTAGTGCCCTGCGCCAATATTGTAAGGGAAAAAGAAGAAAAAGGTAAAATAGTGTATGAACACTGGCATTAGGTTCAAATACGGTTAATTAATTCAGAATGGACAATGTCATTCTAATTTTTCAAAGGACAAGACAGCAAAGTTTCTCACAATGTGATCATTACCAGCTGTGCCAAAACATGCACCCACCGGGTCAAACAGAACTTCAGCCATCCGACTAAACTCCAATCCCAAAGCTTTTCCTCCGTAATAAAAACTTCAAAAGACACAGCTGAGAGACCCATTAACGTGCCATCTGAGAGTATTTGAGGGGTAAAGGCCAATCTTTTAAAGAGGCAGCTATCAGCACGTGTGAAAATTTAAGGTGAGCTTTTAAAGATAAAAGGCTTTTGGTGGGCCAAAATAAGCAGCAATTTTCCATCTATTATAAATAATCACCAGATCATAGAAATTTTGTTTAAAAAAAAAATCAATGGAAAACCTATTACGCATCACTAAAACAGATTTCTTATTATTACCAGCCACCGCTGAAATACAGAATGTGCTCTGGGCGGTGGGTGAGGGTGGGTGAAACAGGTGAAGGGGCTTAAGAGCACACGTATCCGGAGCACTGATCTGTGGACTGCTGAACCACTACACTGCATATGTGAAACTAATAAAACACTGTGTTAACTACAAGGAATTTAAACAGATAAATAAAATAGATGTGTACAAAAATGTTTCTTTAAAAATAAAAGGATATGCTCAGTAAGTTAGCTTAAGAGAGTATCTGCTATTTAGAAAATCACTTACTGGGGAATTCCCTGTTGACTAGCAGCTCCCTTCTAGTGTCAATGCACACCTAATGACAGTTTTCTTCTAATCTTTCATAAGATACATTCGCTTAATTTCTTAACACCTGATCACAAATATGGAAAAAAAAAATCTTACCCACTGGTCCAAATGTACCTGTACCCATATTATTATTCATGGAATTATTCTTCTGCTCATTGTGTGCCTAAAAAATATGTTTTTAATTTAACCAATTGAAGATTTATAAGAAAAAACATTATAATAACAAGTTATATCCATTCTTCACTTTTGTTTTTGTTGTTTTTTTTTTTTTTAAACAAATTTTTAAAAGATTTATCCAAGTCCACTCAATGTTACTATTCAGGAATGTTTCCCAAACCTTTTATAGCTTCTGTTGTATCTTACTGTGTTTTCCTGAGATTTCTCCCTACTGCTCGAAGTGCTCAATGGCACATATATTTAACACTAAAGATATATGTATATATACTCACAAAATATACAGAATGAAAATGACTTTATATTCTTTTTAAAACTGTCCTCGTTATTTCTGGGTAGGACAGGGTTTCACACCTAGCCAGAGAATTATAGTACCCTGTCAAAATTAGTCTAATCATATAAACAGACTATACATTTGGATTAATTACCCCTCTGCTCTGTTGTCCTCGATAATCTGGGTTGGGTTCACTGAAATTTGGCACTTCTGAATAAACCATACAAAATCTGAAAGAAAATAAAGCACAAGTTAAATGACTCCTAAAATAATCAACCTTTGCATAACATGCATAACTTATAGGAATGAAGAATTTAGGTGTTAAATGAATTAACTAAAAAGCAACATGTTAACTATTTATACAACGAAAACTTCCTAAATGCTATGTTCCATAAAAAACAAAGTGTTCTAAAATACTCCGTGGTCCACAATATTTAAAACATTCTACTTTTTATTTTAGTTCTTCTGTACTGCAAAAACTAAATCATGTCAAAGACCAAGGACACAGAGACACTCTCTGTGCTGTTTTTCCGCATAGACTGATGTCCCTGAACCGTGTTTAGGGTTCCAGAGCGGTCTTTCCAGCAGTGGTGATGGATTTGCACTGATCCACTCACACACTCCCATCCAGTCCCTCTTTTGACCAATCACTGTGAATCTGCAAAGATAATTATTCAAGGTTAAGAGCGGACTCTGCAGGCATGATAAAGACATGTGGCCATTAGACAACAGTTTATTCGATTGCTTCTTGTGAGTGGACTATGGCATATATGAAGATTACACTTAAGTATTTACTTAGCTCCTCACCCCATAAATTAATTAAAATCAGTTTTGGTATATCCTAGACTGACCCTGACAAAGTCAAGTCAAGGAAGAACGGAGTGACCTCCACTGGTTCTTCACGTCACTGACCTCTTTCTCCATATACATGAAGGTCAGGAAAACCCCCGTCTTCTGATGATACTGACCCTAAGAGCTTTCACAAGTTGCTCTAACACTGCCCTAAAACAAACCTAAGTATAGTTTTTCTCCTCGCAAAAGCAAAGTGTTCCCAGTTTCTGATCTTTAAAAGCTAGCAAGATTGCTTATCTTTTCCCAACAATTTTATCCCTGCAGGGTAGAAGAACATTTTTTTTTTGTGCTGTGCATGGCTTCTGTAGGTCTTCAAATACAAACAGAATGGACTAATGACTTGGCTCCTTGCCAACACAATACTTTATGAACACATCCCAAATGTCTAAGCTAATATGGAGGCTAAATTACCTTTACACCCCTAGAGAGGATGGTTCCTCCAAGTCAGGGTGGAGATTACCAGGGTAGGAGGATATGGAAGCTCGCATTGTGGCTGCCTGTACGGTACCTAGACTGTGGATAAATACAGGACTTCAATAGTCATCGCTGCAAGTCCTTTTACCACGAGTACATATCCACCCATAAATGAAAAAAGAAAATTTAAACTGTTGGCCTGAAACCTAACTTCTTACCTAGCTTCTTCTTTGGCATTTCACCAGAAAACAGAACCTATTTAAAACTGCACTGTGACACCTAAAAGATACGTGTTCCCAAACTCTACAGAAATGGCCCCACTGGGGTCATCTCAAGTGCGACTTCATGCTCTTTGCCAGGGAAAACTAATCTTCTCAACCACAGGAAACAGCAAGGATGGCTGTTAAGCCGGTACATATGCAAAGTTGTTTTTACAGCGAAGCTATTGAAGGCATTCAGTTTACCAATACAGAAAAGCCAGGAAGTTTATCCTTTATAGTTTATACCTACCAGTTACTCTGTAGACATTACGTGTAATTTATTCACTTATAGGAAATGCATTTGAATACTTACTCCCCAATTTTTTGAAGTTCTCCACCCCTTCCAGTGTACAGCGTCAAACATCCTTTCCACATGGATGCATACCTGGAAAGGGAAGAAACATTGTTATGTAAAAATACATGTATTTCCTTCTACTTAAGTGAAACTTTATACTGTATTTTTTTGTATCAGGGTGTAGGTGGAGATCAAATTCTGTCTACGGTAGTAAATCAATTGGCCTAATTTGATTAACTTGTTACTTACAAACGAACAGCACAAAGAGAAGTCTACTACCAAATTTTGACATAATTATCTAAAGTATAACCAACCCTAGGAAACAAAAAGTCTCGTTGCAAAGCAAGCATTGTTATACTCCAAAGATCACATCTTCAATTAACAAAAGAACTTTCAATTGAAGAGATTCAAGCAGAAATTATTTCTCAATCATAGCATATATAGTATCAACACCAAGTGTGTACTTTTATACACATTTACTTGGTCTCCTCAGATTATTCAATAAAATAGTTTTTCCTTTTTCTCTATAAAACACATAGGAGGATTCACGAGCTACTGAAAATCTGGTAAAATTTAATCAAGGGCCTAAAAAAACAATCACAAATCTCACCTGCCTTTCCAAACCTGCAATCTCTAGCATCAATTTAGCTGAACAGATCATTTACTATGATCAACTCTTGAGAGTGCAGACAGCATCATTAAATATTCCTGCACAAAAATCTAGTAAAAATGTAAATTAACATTGTAAAATCAGTCTAAAATTTGGTTTTCAGTGGTTCTCTATAAACTACAATGGTAACTTTAGGACCTAGAATGTTAAATTATAGGGACGCCTGGGTGGCTTAGTGGGTTTAGCATTTGCCTTTGGCTCAGGTCAAGATCCCAGAGTTCCAGGATGGAGTCCCCAGGCCTGCACAGGGCTCCTTGCTGAGCAGGGAGCCCGCTTCTCCCCCTGCCTGCCACTCCCACTGCTTGTGAGCTCTCTCCCTCTGACAAATAAATAAAACCTTAAAAAAAAATGACAAATTATAATTAAATATTGTTAACTAAGTAGTTGTATTTCATTTTTTAACATAGATTAATAAAGACTAGTTAGTTCCACATTATACATTCCTCTTCAGTAAGGGTAATCCACTAAAGACTCTTATGTTATACAAAAAGCAACTTAGAAGAAAAACAGTGCACTAATATTTCACCTTAGTAATGTAAAAGTTAATGCATGCTGAGAAAAAAATTGCAGTTTCAACAAGTAAACATTTAACTTGCATTTGTTTCAGGAATGAGGTCAACAACAGATACAACTAGAACTGAAGGGCCTTACAATAGGCCAGACTCGGCCAGACATGTTATTTTTTAAGTAAGGTGTAATTATTCCCATTTTACAGATGAGGAAATTACCGAAGTGTAAAAACCTCAAGGTCACATTGAAGTTACAAAATAGTGGGGTTTCTTTAGTTTTGAATTTTCCTTTACATTATACTCCTTGAAACTCTATAAATACTATATGGAACTTGATTTTAGTTTTTCCACAAATTTTTTGACGGACATACCTATGTATTTTCCACTGACTACAAAACAATGAGATATCTGAAATGAGATGCTGTTTACACTACATTAGAGAGATGCAAAATATTCTGGCAGCCAGAAAAACTTCAATTATGCTAATCCGCACCACACCCTCCTAGGCAGGAATTCTCTTGTGTGTCAGCTACAGACGTGGACGTTTAAAGACACAATTAGTGTCATGAGTCACTGCAGGAGAATAAAATGTCTATGCTCTGGCTCTCACTTCCTTCTCTGAGGACACTCTGCCTCACTTCCTGAAGCTGCTCTGAGGCCTGGAGGTTTATCAAAGGGCCTACCCAACCTCCAGCGTTCAGGGTGATCTGACACTTTTCTTCCTGCCGAACGTTTTTCTGCGTATCATTCTGGTTTGTGCACTCCACGGACCTTACAGCAGCAGGCACCGGAAGTCATCTTCCAGAATGTGCCTTCCAGATACTGTGAACTTCCCTTAACTTTTCCATTCTGGTAAAAACTTGACATACCGCAGACCTGACACTGTCCAGCTACAATCTGATGTCCTGTCTAAACAAAATACTGGCAGGATTTCAAAAGCCACTAAAAAGGGGGAAAAGCTAGAAAAGTGCTGACAACTGTATTAAGTAATTTATTAAAAAAAAAAAAAAGTAAGTAGGATGGACTTATGCTAATTTTACCAATCTACAAAACACACTCAGTAATCCCAAAAACGTATTTAACCATCTGCTTGACCTGTACACTGAGGGAAAGTGGGCTAGATTCCGGGGTCAAACTGACGGCTTTCCTGGGAGGGTGTTCTATCCCGAAGCTGTCCACTCCCCAAAATGACCATCCAAGGGCCCCCAAACTGCGCGGAGGGCCACCGGGCAGACAGGGGCTCCAGCACCTGTCAGGGTCCCCTGCCGGTGATTGCAGGCTGTCACCTAGGAAGCAACCCCCCCCCCCCCCCCCCCCCCGGGCACACCTACCCTCGGGTCAACCGAATAATGTCCCCCGGCTGGATAAGACCTCCGATTTCATCCCACACGGAAATAGTGATGCTGCCCGTTTTGTCTGCCACTTTGCATGATCTCACTTCATGGCCGTCTTTGGTTTTGGTCACGCGTCCTGCGGAGAGTTAAAATCGCAAGAGGGAGGGGTGTGTTAGGTAACGAGGACTTCAGGGAGGCTCGAACTCCTCCTCCGGGACCGTCAGGCCGTGGACAGGGGGGCAAGAGGTCGAGCCCCGGGATTTCGCCGCAGGTCGGATCCGAGCCCCGGGGTGGGGGGGGCACCGGGGCCACGTGGAAGGGGGGAAGGGTGGGGGCCTCGAAGAGGAGGAGAAGGGGAGCCCCGGGCTTGCGGCGGTGGCGCCCTCCCCTCCTGCCCCAGCACGCGCGGGGCAGCGGGGTTGGCGGCGGACCCCACTTACCTATCTCCAGCACAATAAAGACGACATTTAAGTTTTTCAGTCCGGGCTTAATGTCTTTTATGAAAAGAGGAGGGTCGGTGCCCCCGTTCATACCGAGGCAGGTGCGGCTACGGCTGCGGAGACGCGGGTGGGCGGGGGGGACGAAGCCTCCCACCTCCCGGGCCGGGGCGGGGGCGCAGGGGAGACCCTGGGCTGGGGCGGCGAGCGCACGGGCAGGAAGCGGCCGGTCGGGGACCAGGGACACCAGCCCAGACGGCACTGAGTGCCCAAAACGGAGACGGAAAAAGGGGAAAAGGCTCCCGAGTTTCAAAGAAAAGGAAGAGGCGGCCGGACCCAAGCGCGCTGCGGCGGGGCGGCAGCGACCCTGAGCCGGACGGCCCCCCTCGGACAAAAGGAAGGTCAAAAAAGGCAGCGAGGGTTTGCCTCCGCCCGAGTCCCCTCACACTCGCAACACACACGCGCGAGCGCGCGTCCAGTGAGTCCCAGGCTTCAGGAAGGGACAGACTGTGACAGCGAAGCCGGCGCCGAGACCGGGCAACCGCGCACGCTCCGTCCCGAACTGCGACTGCCGCACGCGCCCGCGCGCCGGCCGGACCCCTACCCCGGCAGCCCCGCCCCTTGTGACGTCACGGGCGTCGGCACGCCCGTCGCCGGGCTCGCCGGGCCCGCAGGAAGGGAAGCGAGGGGTCCGGAACCGGCCGGCGTCGCACGCGCAGCCTCCCTCTCTCCTCGCGGGCGTCCGCTCGAGCCCCGCCCCCCGAAGCCGTCCAATGAGGGCTCCGCCCCGCCCGCCCCGCTCGCCCCGCCTCCGCCGTCGCTGAGCCGCGTCCGCGGTGCCCGGCGGCTTTTTGCCGGCTCCAGGCGGTCGCCGAGCGGCGCGGGGTGTCCTTGCTCCTTTCTCGCTGGGAGTTCGGCCCTCCCCGGGCGCTTCAGCCCGTCGTCCCCGCGGGTACAAGGGGCAGCTCTTGTGTTCAGGGCCCGTGGGTCGTTCAGAGAGGGGCGCCCAGGCGCAGGCCGGTGCGGCTGTGGGCGGAGGGACGCGCCGGCCGACGGGCGGGTCCTCGCTGCGCGGCCGGGACTTGGCTGAGGGGAGGCCTCGGCTGGGCGGGGCCTCGGCCGCGTCTGTTCCGTCCCAGGGTCGGCGTGGGGTTCCCGAAGGTCCCCGGGACGTTGTGACCCGCGGGCCTGGCCGTGCCCTCCCCGTACTCGGCGGCTGAGAAGTCGGACTCCTCCTCACGCCCGTCCGTCCCCTCCTCCCCGTGCGCTCGTCCCCTCCGCGCAGTCTCTTCAGTGGGCGGTTTTAGGGCGGCGTTAGGTTCCCAGCGGAGCTTCGGGGGAGCGCGGACGCTCCCCGACACCGCGCCCCCGGCCCCGCAGAGCCCGCCGGTCGCGGCTGCTGAAGCGACACCGGCACGTCGCCGTCACCGCGGGCCCGCGCTGGCTGTTGTGTGTCCATGAGCTGGGACAGGCGTGTGGTGACTTGTGTCCACCGTACAGTGTCGCAGAGCTTCGGGGCCCGGAAAGTCCGCGTCACCGCGTGTCCTTCCCGCCCTCCTGGTCCCGGCGCCCCCTCGTCCGTCTCCGCAGTTGTGACTTTCCAGAACGGGCACCGCCGGCCCTTCAGACGGTCCCTGCACTGCTGTGCGTCCCCTCGGCGCCCTTCCGCGGGCTCGGTCTGTCCTTGCACAACCGCACGGTCACGCGCGACCGCACAGTCCTGCACAACCGCACGGTCACACACATCTGCAGTCCTACACAACCGCACGGTCACGCGCAACCGCACGGTCACACACATCTGCAGTCATACACAACCGCACGGTCACGCGCAACCGCACGGTCACACACATCTGCAGTCCTACACAACCGCACGGTCACGCGCAACCGCACGGTCACACACATCTGCAGTCCTACACAACCGCATGGTCACGCACAACCGCACGGTCACACACATCTGCAGTCCTACACAACCGCACGGTCACGCGCAACCGCACAGTCATACACAACCGCATGGTCACGCACAACCGCAGTCCTGCACAACCGCACGGTCACACGCAACCGCACAGTCCTGCACAACCGCACGGTCACACACATCTGCAGTCATACACAACCGCATGGTCACACGCAACCGCACGGTCACACACATCTGCAGTCACACACAACCGCACGGTCACACACAACCGCACGGTCACGCGCAACCGCACAGTCATACACAACCGCATGGTCACGCACAACCGCACGGTCACACACATCTGCAGTCCTACACAACCGCACGGTCACGCGCAACCGCACAATCCTGCACAACCGCACGGTCACGCAACAGCAGCGGGAACCCCGAAACGTGACAACCCGGAAAAATAGGTTTTCTTCATCTCTTTACCTCGCGTCGTGAGGAACGGGCACTTGACAAGCAAATCTGGGCTCAGACGGTCCTGCGGGACCTTCCGGACACCGACCGAGCTTCGCAGTCATGATCCCATCATCTGGGAAGAGGCCGCCGGCCTGGGAACTACGACCGCAGACCGTCGTCTGACCAGTGCCCGGGAAACAGCAAACACTCCGTACGCTCCCGCGCTTATTTGTTACTCTGAAGGGAGAGGAAAGCAACAGTAGCTTGAGCTGCGGGTACACAGGCCCCGCACCCGTCCTCGGCGGTGGCCGCTCACTGTTCCCCCATGTCACAGCTGGTGAGACGCCCGGACGCAGAGCCAGAGCGCGGCCGACCTTGGGTTCCAATCCAGGCAGCCTTGACGCCACCATCCCCCACCCCCCAGAGCCCTGCAGCTTAAAAGTAGTTTTTCAGACTTAAATTACAGTGGTAGAGTTACACGTTTTAGCAATAAAACGTATCTGCAGGGCATTAAAGAATCCTTAACTTTGTGATGGTAACAGAAATGGGGAGAAGAGTCAGAGAACTTGCGTGGCTGAAGCCTTGTGTTTTTCTTGATTCTTGCTGAATGTTTTTAGATGCACCACCAGGGCCCAAGCATCTGGGAAGAAGTGGCATCATCTTACACAGCCTGAGAAGCGCTTCAGGGAGAATCACATGACCAGGACAGACCAGACACGCCTAAGGGAGCAAAAGGTTCCATTTCATGGACCAGTAAGGCCTGGAGAGCCAAAGACGCTGACGTAATGAGGGAAAGTGGTGTAAAATAATGTAAGCATGATTTCAACGTCAAATAAAACACATGAGGAAACATGGCAGTTAATGGCAGAACCACATCCAACCTCAGGGCTCCCAAAGACTCCCCCTTCAGATCAGAAGCTCTGATCCTACCAACAGTATCTAGCAGGACTTGTTGCTTCATTTAGATGTTCCTCAAAGCAATTGTCTTCAACACAGGCAAGAACATTCTCACAGAAACAATATTTAACCAACTGAGCCACCTCAGCGTCCCTCAGAGAAGGAATATTTAAATCAGACCTTTATTTAAAGGTTTGACAAGATATTTAAAAGATTAACAACAGATAGGAGACCAATTAAGAATGTGGAGCACAATCATGGCCAAGAGTTTGGACAAAGCGAGCTGGCCCCTCCTTGCACCCTCCGTCCTCTGTTCCCAGAAAGGGGATTAGATGGGGCTGCTCGGACTTATTTTACGGATACTGACGAAGAGGAACCAGTCAGGAGACCAAGCCCCACAAAAGCAGAAGCTGAAGTTAGCAGCCCCGCCCTGCCCTAACCCCAAGGGAGAGAACTCAGCCAAACCTCTACTTCCTCCCCTACTTACTCAGCTGTTCTCAAGCAGGAAATGGCCACCAAGTGCTGTTGTGTTCACTGAAACTGGAGACAGCCTTGAGGAAACAAAATGGTGTGAACAGGGCAGGAACTCTTCAATCCAGATCAGTTGGTTTCAACCAACTCCAGTTACCACTCAAGGGTGATGTTAATGAAAAGAGAAAGGGGGTGGCTGTCTAGAAAAACAACTGTTGCCACTCAGATAATCATTCCTAATATGTGATTCAGCAAAATAAACAAAGAGATCCCTGGTCACTAGGCCCAGCCGGTCAGGTGATGAAGATTCTACTGCTGACTCTTGACGACATCCACAAGATCACCTCACGGTCTTCTTCCTTCCAAGACTCTTGTTCTTGAGGCCTTCCTCATGTTCAGAGCTCAAACATCAGCCTCTGAGGGAACCAGAGGATTGTGGCCAGAACCTCACCAACACTCTCCCCTGTCAAAAAAAAAAAAAAAAAAAAGGTTATGTGGCGAGATCCAGTACAATACAGAAGTGTATCCATTAGAATCTGTACTTCACGGTCTGCATATCTGGGTGCTCCCTGGTAAGGGTTTTCCTGTAAATTTTGCCACCACCCACTACCCACGCTCACTGCCATGTTCTGGTTTCTGGGATAAAAAAAAATCATTTTCACTTTTGCTGCGCTACCCATCTATTCACCACTATGACAACATCAGTTGAGTAGCTGACCAAGTTCTGTTTGAAACTAGATGTCTTGTATGGTGAAACGAACAATAAAAAATTAACAAGAACTACAGTGTTCTCACATTACAAAGGTAATCTACTTTGTAACATAATTGGCAAGGTCAAAAAGAAATAGCCTTTTCTTAATCTCCTTAAAAAGATTTAACCAAAAGGGTCACCTGGGTGGCTCAGTGGGTTAAAAAGCCTCTGCCTTCGGCTCAGGTCATGATCCCGGTTTCGTGGGATTGAGTCCTGCATCGGGCTCTCTGCTCGTTGGGGAGCCTGTTTCCTCCTCTCTCTCTGCCTGCCTCTCTGCCTACTTGTGATCTCTGTCAAATAAATAAATAAAATCTTAAAAAAAAAGATTTAACCAAAAGACTTATAAGTAATGTTTAGAAATATTTACAACATAGCCACATAAATCATCCCTATAATGATACAGGCTAACACACACTGAGCCTTTGCTATGTGCCAGGCATTTTATACATACAAGTACTTGATACTTATTAATATATTATTTAATAATATTTTGGGAGTGGGTTTTCTTATTTTACAGTAAGTTACGGAGCTGGGATTTAAAACCAAGCCTTACATGAAATAACTTCTTCTATGAAACAGGTTATTTGCCCTTAAAAGTGCACTTCTTTAGTTATCTAAGTGGGTAATTGGATTTTTTTGAAGGCTTTGTAGTTCAGTGATAAGTGCAATGCCGGGTTGTTTAATCCCTAATGTCTCATTGTGGTGCGGGCAGTGAGGTCTGCTGGTGAGGAATAACTCTGTAGTTTCTCTTGGGAAGAAATGCATCCCGAAGTAGGTTAATTCAGCTCAGCTACATTATCTTTTTAATGATAGTGTGAACAACTTTGGTTTCTGTTCTAAAAAAGTTCCTTTCTGGTGCACCATTCATCTAACTGGCCGCCCGAATTCATTGTTTGTTCAGCTGAGAGAACAAAATATTAGTGGCAACTGACCCAACTCAGAATTCATAAAACAAAATTATTTCTTTATTGGCAGATTACTCTCATTGGAGTATGTATCCTAATCCTCATTCTTAAAGGGATATTGTAGAAAAGGCTACAAATCACAAGTCCAGATGGCTGACCACGTTGCATAGGATCAGAAGTCCTTTCCATACTGTGTCTAGCGGACATGCTGTTTGCTGAGATTTCTTGTTATCCTACGTGGCTGTGGAGGGAGTGTTCATGCGCCACCGCAAATTCCTGTGTTGAAATCTGATCCCCAACATAAAGTGGAATCTGGAGGTAGGGCCTTTGAGAAATGATTAGATAAGAAGGCGGAGCCCTCAGGCATGGGATTGGTGCCCTTAGGAAAGAGACTCCAGG